TGTAGTTCACGAGACAGGCAGGGTTAGGTGACAAAGAATTGGTTTGTTTATTTATTACAGTCTTCATCGAATTTGTGACAATATTACTTACGTTACAATATCATGTTCCAATATTTTGGCCTTGAGCCATGTGGGATCTTACCTCCCCAACTAGGGGTCAAGCCCACGCCCTCTGCACTGGAAGGGGGAAGTCCCTGAAGAATTGGTTTTAGACGGTAGTTGAAAGTATGGCATCGCAAGTGTTCCCCAGCCACGCTGAACAACAGTACTGCCATTTCCTTCAAGGACCGTCTAAGCTGTTTGGCCTCTAGACCTTCGCATACGCTCTTCCCCCTGCCTGTCACACACTTCCCTGCTCATTCCTCCTTCCCCAAGTCCGGTCCTCACTTAGCTTCCCTTTTCCACCCGCTCAGATGCAGTTTCCCAGCCCTCCCAGGTAGAGGGTCCCTTCCGGCCCCCGATGTCCCTATGAGTGCCGTAGCGCTGACAGCCACACTGGGAGCTGACCTGTGTGGGGGGCGAGAAGAATGATCATCTGTTCTTGACAGGTTTCCACCCCGGGCCCATTCTCTGAGAGCGGAGACTGTCTTCTGTTCCCCATTAACCTCCTGTACCTCATCTGGTGCTTGGACACGTGTGTTCTCTCAATGTTTGTTGAAGGAGTGGATGAACAGGAGTTCATTTTGGTTTACACTTTTGAGCCTCAAGGTTTTTTTGGCCACGCCATAGGGCATGTTGGATCTTAGTTCCCCAATCAGGGATCGAACCCATGTCCACTGCCTTAGGAGCATGGAGTCTTAACCACCAGGGAAGTCCAGAGTGAAGGGCTTTTCCTTTTTTTTTTTTTGGAGCCAAGGGTTTTTTAAGTGGTCAAGTGTGTTCTGTCGCACAGCCATCATTTGCCATGTCTTGTGTGTACACACTTGGCGGGCGCCACGGGGAGTGGAGAGATGACCTGTGTCCTGTTCCGAGGCGCCCACCGGCGCTGTCGACCAGCGACGGAACTAGAGGCAGGTGTGGTCACGTGCTGGCGAGTCCAAGGACGCCCCATCACAACCCAAGACCTCCTTTCTGCAGGCTGTCCTGAGAACCGCCGGGAGCAACTGTGAGCAACGTTTCTTGTCTGTGAAGAAGTAGAAACCCACATTAGGGGACTGAGCAGGCCGCCCGCCAGCCTTTGGGGGAAGGCATGTTGAAAAGTGCAACCTCATGTAGGTAACAGCACGCTGGAGGTTAGCTGTAACTCAAGAGAGACTCTTGATGACTTAAGAATAGAACACTATATTTTATAAATAGAGCGGAGACTTAAAATTAGATGTATTTAGGATGCCTCTACCTGGTTTCCTTGGGCACCTTAGTTGAGCTTTACTTTGTCTAGAACTTAATTACTCATCTGTTTCCCTCAAAATTAGCTGCTCCTGCTCCTCCCATCTTCCAGCCTTCCTTTCCTGGAGCCACCTGATGCTCAAACCCAGAAATTCAGGTGTTCCTCTCAACGCTTCTCCAGTTCTCAGCCTTCCTCTCCTTCCCACCTGCCTTCCTCTGGGTGGGAGTTGTCCTCTCTTCTGGCTTTCTTGATTCCAGTCTCCTCTGGGCTTCCCTGCTGGCTCAGACGGTAAAGACTCTGCCGGCAATGCGGGTAAACCCAGGTTCGATCCCTAGGTTGGGAAGATCCCCCACAGAAGGGAATGGCCATCCACTCCAATATTCTTGCCTGGAGAATCCCATGGACAGAGGAGCCAGCTGGGCTATAGTCTATGGGGTCTGAAAAGAGTCAGACACGACTAAGAGACTCACACGTCCCCCAACCCATTCTCCATCATATTGTCAGCGCGCATTCTAGAATACAGGGCCGACCCCATTATCCGTCTGCCTGAGGGTCTTTGGCTGGTCCCCTCCACACCCCGCCAAGTTCAGGCTGTCTTGTCTCACCTCTGCCAGATGACCTGCATTTCTTTGTAAAGATCAGGACATTCGTTTGTTCTGAGACGTATCTCCTTTCCTCCTTTAACTAATTCTCCTCTGTTCTTTAAAGCTTTTCCCCACCTGTGTCCTTGCTTGAGTCTCTGGTGGGGAACAGGCCTCCATCTTTTTCACATGTCTAATGTTTGACACATAGAATGTGCTCTGTGATGCCTGCTGAAAGATCAGCTGAGAGGACAGGGGGTTCGCTGGTGGCCTAGTTAGGTTAGGATGCTGAGCTTTCGCTGCCATGGCCTAGGTTCAATCCCAGGTCCAGGAGCTGAGAACCCGCGAGCTGCGTGATGTAGCCAGAAAAAAAAGATAAGAGGAAGCAGAGACTTTAATTCACCTTGAGCTGTAAAGGAATAATATTGGGCCTTTGCAAGAACAGGTTTTATTTTAAGGTGGGAAAAGAGTGTTAAGACCCCAGTCACTTACTGGAAAAGATGGCTGGGGAGTGCTGGTAGAGAGCAAGCCAGAAGGGAAGCCCGCAGAGCAGAAAATAGGCGATTGGGGGCGGGGGTGGGGGTGGTCTGCCTGCCTTAGACCATTAAGAAAACGGCCCGTGTCTGCTGCAGCAGGCTGCCAAGGAAGGTCTCCTTATTTATACAAGAAGGGGACAGGTCTGCGGTAGGTAATTAATGACTCAGACTCGTTTCCAATTTGACATCCTGCAGTTCTTAGAGTCGAAGTTGAAAATCCAAGACAGGCATTCTGAGTTGGTGTGAGAACCGTGCCCCCCCTGCCCCCCGCAACACACACACACACACACACTTCATTGCAAGCCCCATGGGAACAAAGACGTTGTCTCTGCCTTCAACAGAGATAGTTTTGCATTTCGGAAACAAAGAGGTAGAAAGGAATACAGGAAAACTGCCTTGATAGGAGGTTGTGTTTGAGAATTTAAGCTCCCAAGTCAGGAAATCCAGTCAGCATAATCTCGGGAGTTAGGATGCACCGCATACCCCCCAGCAGACAGCCCCTGCCTGCCAGAGCCTGCCCGGCAGCGGCCGTGAGTTATGGCGGATGGGAAACCTTTACCTTGATCTTCTGGGCCGCTGGGTGTTTTCACTTCTCCAAGTTAATGTCTGCTCTTAAGCGTTACATTATCTGGTAGCAAAGTAGTCATTTATAATTTATATACTATGTGCCAGCTTAAAATAGAGACAAGAGGATCATCGGCGTTCTGAAGCTCCTTGTTTTCCAAAATAACATTTCTTCGGTGAAGTCTGCCGGTAGGAATTAAAAAAACCTGCCGTGAATTAAAAAGCCCTTTGTCCAGCAGTCAGGCTGGGACACAGATGTGCCAACAAGCATTACTAGTAAAGACCTCCACCTCTGGGGTGGCGCAGGGGCCCCACTGAAGTCCCAGAGAGGGGACGGGGGGCAGAGCTGGAGGGACATTTGGAGAAACGGCCCCCGTGAAGGACAAAAGCCAACCCGCATCTCCATCCCTTATCTGCTGAGTGTTTATGTATCTGGCTCCCTCAGGTCATCGTTGCGGCAAAGCGGGATCTTTTGTTGCAGCGACCGGGCTCGGTTGCTCTGTGACACGTGGGATCTTAGTTCCCGGACCAGGGCTTGAACCCACATCTCCTGCCTTTCAAGGTGGATTCTCAACCACGGGACCACCAGGAAAGTCCGTGTGCTGCAGGCTTTGGTGTCCTTCTGTGCAGGCTGCTCCTTTGCTCTATTGATGTTGATGGCACAGACCAAGATGGGCTTCCCCATTGAGTGCTTTGTAGGGGACACGCTGTCCGCTCACATACATTAAAAATAGAAAAATCCTGCTTGAAAAGCCCTCTGTAGAGTCAGGTCTTAGCAGAAACGAATCGAATCTTAGAGGTCTCGCTTGTTTGGTTTTTTTTTTCCTTCTTTTATAAGAAGTCTCTGAACCCAAAATTTTCCTCAGTGCTTTTTCATCATACATCTGGAATGTGCCGGGACCTTGGGTGGAGATTTCTCTCATCAGGGGAAGAGAACAGACACACCTCTGAAGTCGGGTGGCCTTGCTCTTCCGATGTTTGGTGACCCCGTAGTATCTGAATCCACCATCTGTGACCGTGGTCTCCGTGATGTGGCTCACGCTCAATCCGTGTACCCGGGTGTCCATTCGAGTGTCCTCCTGATAACTTGGGGGCCGCTGGGGTCAGGGCGAGGGGAAACTTAAGGAGTAATATGGGAACATCCTGGGTGATATAACTGGAGAGCCACAAGGTGGCAACATTTACTAAGCTGCTGGGCATTTTCTTCCCCTATTATGATATTGAACCTGCTTTTCCAGCCATAAGATTGAAGAGCAGAGAAAAAGGGTTTAGCAGCCATTGCTTCAGGTCCTTCTGAAAGGAACACTGTGGAATCAGCACACTGCAGTGTATTCCTGTCTGTCTGTCCCCTGGGTTTCCTGTGAAATTGCTGTGTGACTATAGCTGGGACCCCCTGCCCTCTGGCCTCCGTTACACATCGTTATGGGGGGAGACCATGATTTTGCTGGCTGGTCTCTGATGGTGCCTTTTCCCCTTGATTTGTGACTTTGATTACAACTTCCCCCCCTATATTGCTTTTAAAAATACCTAGTAAAACTTGTCTTTACATTTTAAAAAGCTAGCCTTCTATCCAAGGGCAGAGTCGTGATTAAAAAGAAGATCGACAGTAAAATCTCGAGGAAATGGATGTCCCTGGGAGCTCACCCCAGGTTAACTGGAGAAGCTCGACTCTCCTAAATGCGGATGCTATTTACCAGCCTTCCAAAATTAGCAGCTTTGGGGATATTAAGATCTGAAAGGAACTGTCCAAGGGAGGTATTGTGTATGCTTTGCAGCGATTAAGCCATTAAGCTCTAATTGGTATTTTCCCACTCATGGTTTTGTGTGGGAAGCCGCACAATTGTTTAGGAATTCTGTGCTCATCAGCCATCTCAGCGTCGTCCCCACCTTTCGGAACCTGAGAACCGGGGACCGCAGAGGAAAGGGTTTTTCCTGTAAGTGGACTGCAACTCAGGCTCAGCCGGCTTCCCCTGTTGACTTCTTCCCTTGCAGATGAAGTGGAAGGGGAAGGACCTGTTTGACTTGGTATGCCGGACCCTGGGGCTTCGCGAAACCTGGTTCTTTGGTCTGCAGTACACAATCAAGGACACGGTGGCCTGGCTCAAGATGGACAAGAAGGTGGGCCTGGACCCCGACGACACTAGTGGGGCTAGCGTGGGCTCCGAATTTCCCAAGTGTGTGTCTAGCTTGTTGCTCATCACGGACCATTACAGGGGCACAGTAGAGAGAGGGGTGGGTCGCAGAGGAAGTCACGTGGGACGTGGGTCTGGGGAGGCCGCCCCTCTGCTCCCCAGGCCCGAAGAATCCCCCAGGACTGACCTGCCACCATTCCTGGCTGCTTCTTCGTTTGCCATCGGATGTCACCTGATTGCTCCAGGCTTTATGCCGTTCAGCAGACTGAGCCAGGAGTCAGGCTTTGTGAATAAAAATTACCATTGTGTTATCTTTTTTTTTTCCGCCCACAATTTATGTCTTTGAAAGATTTTCTCAGGGCTCATGTGCTTTAGGGAATTTTTTTCGAGTCTTTTTGAGAAACACCATGGCCCAACTCAATTTACTCATTACCGTGATCTAAGGAATAAAGAGTGCCCTGGTCCCCACGGTGAAGGAAGAATGTCTCTTTTGTTCTCGTGTTTCCTGGGGCCTCTGAGGCCTGGTGGAGGAGTCTGGGCTCCCTGCAGTTCTAACGTGGCTCAGAAATGGATATTGCCTCGGGGAACTGCCCTCTGCATGGGTTCTTATATGTGCACAGAGACACTGTCACCTCCTTACCTGCCTACCTAACCGCAGAGATGCTGAGAGCAGGGCCGTACGCATTTGTCAGTAACTCCTAAAAGACCCCCGAATCTCAGAGTGAGTCAGCGTCAAATTCTTACCACAGATTACCCCCTGCAAGTGCTTACCCCATCTTATCTACTGCTTGGCATGATAAACATTGCAAGCCTTGTGTCTTTCACCACTTTGACGCTGAACCCAAGTGTTCAAATTGTGTTTACATATGTAAATCCGGATCTTCACATTGGGATGGCTGCCGGTTATGAATTTCACGTGGAAATTCCCAACGATCATGAACGTCCCCGATCAGGTTTATTTTTAATTTCTCAGGCGCCGAGGCCAGGAATTTGGGCAGGAACCTGGAGGGTTACCCACCAAAGACAGCAGAACCATCGGTATCATTTTATGGCTCTCGGCAAAGTAAATTTGCAGTCGTATCTGAGTGTCGGCCAAATGGATATTAGACTGGGGGGCCTCAGGAGCCATGGAGCCTGCTGCTCAAAAGAAATAAATTCTGACACATGTTAATGGAGCCTTGTAGCCTGTCACATGGCATGTTTATGTCCTGAGATGAAATTCATTCTGGAGAGCAGATGGCTCAAGCTTTCCAGTGGGTGGATGAAATTGTTAGATTAAAGACCCTGTGGTTTACTGGCTGTGCTCAAGTAGTTCGTGGGGGCCTCTCTAGAGGTTCCTTGAAACATAGGGTTGCCTCGATGGGGCATGTTTCACCTCTTGCTGCTCAGTTAATGATGAGATGATTCGACAGAGATGTAGTTCGTCATCTCTAAGCTCCATTCCACTGTGGACTTCAATGCTGGAGGTAGGCAGCAAGACCAAACACTAGAGGGAGATTCCACAAGTTGAGAACATTAAAAAACTTTAATTTTAATTTAATTTAATTTTAATTTCGGCCTGCCGTAAAAGATAGTGCCCAATGCCCTCGGGTTATAAATTTCTAGTTGTTAGCTATCTCTGCGGCCTTGAAAACATTGGTGCCTTAATATTCTTAGCTCCACTCACCACTTAGGGGAATCGATTCATTTGGTTTAGAGACGCCATGTGAGTGAACATCACCTTCTGTTATAGGTGGCTCTGTGAATGCCTCAAACTGTAGAATCACAACCCTTGGGGAATGTGACGACGGATTCAGAAGGGAGAAGAATATTTGTACACTCCCTGCAGCAGGCTCCCTGGGCGGGAGAGGGGCCAACCTGGCTTGCTTTCCTTTAACTCCGCGATCCCACAGGTGCTGGATCATGACGTCTCAAAGGAAGAGCCGGTCACCTTTCACTTCCTGGCCAAATTTTATCCCGAGAATGCCGAGGAAGAGCTGGTTCAGGAGATCACGCAGCACTTATTCTTCCTGCAGGTACCCCTTTCTGATGCTATGCCCCCGATCCTAAAAGTACCCCCCACCCAGAGGCGTGGCCACAGACGCAGTCTGGACCGACCCTTCCATGTCGACCACACATGCCTGCACGTCCTGAAAACTCTTTCTCCTTCTGGAAAGCCAGCCCCTCTGGTTCTGCAATGAAAAAACAAGCTTCAGGACAGAGCTCTGCTTGAGCAATGAGCATTGGTGTCAGATGAAACTGCAGAAGTGTGATAGCGAAAGAACCCATGCCGGTGGCAGCTCCCTCACTAGATCCATCTCTTTGGAGAGGGATCCCGTTTTCTTCCCCACTAACTTAAAAGTACTAGGTAGTTGCCCCGGAAGTCTGAACAGAGTCTTGCAAAGATTAGTTCTTCCAAAAGTTCAAATTTCGCTCTCGTGAAGGTGAGACTTCAGCACTCCACTGACACTTGGGATTCATCAGGCTTCAAGCCACTCTTTGTCTAGGGTTGTTTTATTTTCCACTTACTCCCCCTTTAGATTGTGAGCCTCTTTAAGGCAAGGCTCACTGAGTGCATGGTGGCCATCCCATAATTGTTGCACCGAATTGAAGAAATCGGGAGATCCATAGTTAGAGGCTCAGAGACAGCTAGAGTTGACCCTCTTGGGGGGCAGCCAGGGGGTTGGAGTGAGGGTGAGAACGCTGTCAGTTTTGTTCGTGTTCCTACTGCTTGGTCAGAGCACTTCCCCAGTTTCAGGGTTAGTTTTTTTGTTTGTTTTTTGCTGTATCTTAAGGTATTTGGCATCTTAGTTCCCCAACCAGGGATCGAACCCATACCCCCTGCAGTGGAAGCTCGGAGTCTTAACTGCTAGACCACCAGGGAAGTCCCTCTTGGTTGGTGCTGAACGCTGGAAGATCAGTGACAGAAAAAACCCTGCAGGGGCATTCGATATGTGATTTCCCAGAAGCAGGCATGTAGGCTGTCACCTAGGCCTCCTGTAGAACTTCCCAGGTGGCTCAGTGGTAAAGAATCTGCCTGCCAGTGGAGGAGATGCTGGTTCCATTTCTGGTTGTGGGAAGATCCCCTGGAGAAGGAAATGGCAACCCACTCCAGTATTCTTACCTGGGAAATCCCACGGACAGAGGAGCCTGGCGGGCTACAGTCCATGGGGTCGCAAAGAGTCAGACGTGATTTAGCAACTGAACAACAAAACAACAAAGTTTACCCTCCTCCCAAAAAAGTGTGTATGTATATGCATATGTATATATATTCCCTCTACAGCATCCTCATGTCAAAAGGAAGCCCGCTCAGCTTTTCTGTAGTGTGGCTTAAAAACCCAAGGGTTAGAGAGTTGCCCTGCTTTAAATGAAGCCACACAATGACCTTCTAGGCCCCAGAACGTCCCGGCCTTATAGAGATGGCTTTCTTGGAAGCATGCCTACTCCCCACTCGACTTTGGCTCAATTTCCCCTCCCACTGAAATGCTGGAGCGCTCTCATGGCTGAGCAAGGCAAAATTTACTACTTTTATGAATCTGGTGATGTTGACGTCTGTGAAGGAGAGTTGGCTTTCCTGTTGTGTTTATTTCAGCCTGCCCCCACTTGAGGATGTCCTGCCTCTCTGTCTGGAACATCCCCCGGCCCCACCAGGCTAAGAAATTAAATGTCATGAGATATGTTAATTCAACATTATGGCTTAAGAATTATATTTCCTGGACCTCATGTAGACTTAAAGGTTTAATCGATCAAGCTTTTATTGCTTCCTTTTTCCTTAGAGCAGGCATATTGAAAGCGATGGTTTTCTCCCTGCAGTCATAACTCAGTGGCCTCGCTGACTCTGGGCTCGTGTTAAGACTTCAAAAAGCAGAGTCCATTTGGTCTGGTTGTGCGTGTGCTCAGTAAGGGCCAAGGCTGCAGTCCTGGCCTGTTCCTGACACCCCCTCAAGTTCACAGCTCTCCTCCGCCACAGCCCAGGCGTTCTCTGTCTTAACAATCACAAAGATTGTTTTCTTCTTCAGCATTTGATCATGAACAGAAGAGATAAGATGTGGAATTTTTTTTTTTTTTTAATGCCTAGCCATCTTACCAGTAACTTCTCAGGGCTGAACTCCCAGCCTGTCAGCAGCATGAAAAAAATTTTAAAAATCATACCCTTTGTCAGAAAATCATCAGCAGGCAAGTGTGGCAGGGCTCGTTAGAACACGCTGCAGCATCGGCTGCGAGCCGCCCCCAACGGCTCCCCTCCGCACGCACATGTCACGTCTCCCCTGTCGCCCCTTGCAGGTTAAGAAGCAGATCTTGGATGAAAAGATCTACTGCCCTCCTGAGGCATCTGTGCTCCTGGCTTCTTATGCCGTCCAGGCCAAGGTAGGCTCAGAGAAGGCACAGGCGTTCTTTCTGAGTGTTAATGCATGTCACAGGATCATGCCAGACTTCCACTTCTCTGGATTTTCTGGGCTTCAGAGAGACTTTCCCCGGAAAGCGGGATGCTCTGGGATGTGCGGGCTTGGGGACCACTCTCACTGTCCCACTTCTGTACCATCTTGTGAGAGTGTGTGTGTGTGTGTGTGTGTGTGTGTGTATGTACCAATGATGAGTGTACAGCTTGATGAATTTTCTGTGTAATCCTGTTTGCACATGTGGTTAATTATATTCGCTGCGCCAAGCTCTCTTTTCATTAACTGGGAAAAATGAGTTTATCATCTCCAATTTTGGCCAGACATGGCCTTGAGGTGAGAAAGGCCCAGGTCCTCACTGCAAACTCATCTTCTGAGGACCAGTGGCCCTGTGTGTCGGGACCACACCCTAGAGAATGTTCTGTTTGATGCATCCCGATGGGCGAGCTGGCTCTACTTATGGTGGGCACTGCAGGCCTCAGGCCCGCTGAGCCCAGCTGAGCTGTCTGGTGACCTGAGAGTCTTTTCACAGAGATTGGCTGCAGTTTGGGAATGGTGGGGCAGGGAGCAGTGTTCCTATCCGCTCTGTTTTTATAAGATGAACCATAGGGTCTACCCGGGATGCTTCATGTTCCTCAGGTTTCCTGCTTCAGTCACATGCCACTTGCTCCTTTTTTTTTTTTTAGGTTGTTAACGTACCTTGGAGTATACTCATTAACAATGTTGTGATCGTTTCAGGTGAATACCTGAAATGCAAAGGGACTCAGGCATACATACACATGTGTCCATTCTCCCCCAAACTCCCGTCCATCGAGGCTGCCTGTTGACATTTAGAGTTCCTTGCTGTGCACACCGGGACCTTATTGGTTATCCAATTAAAATACAGCAGTGTGTACATGTGCATCCCAAACTCCCTAACTATCCCCTTCCCCCATCATTTCCCCTCTACATGCCTTTTGCCCTTTCACCGCAGCATGGGAAGATGACCTCAGAACTGGGTCACTTTCGTTAGCTTTGTGATTTTGCATAATCTTTTCAGTTATCATTTTTCTTTTTTCATTAGAGGTCTCCATAAAGCCATTTCTCTGAAACGTTCCAGAAATTAATAAGACCCTCAACTTCTTAGCCCACGTTTTAAGGGGAGCTTAAGATAATTTCAGATCAAAGCCAGGAAGGAAAAAAACTGGCCCACCGTTTGGAGGAGAAAAGGGTCTGTACATGCTTGTCACACCAACAGGAGCATCAGGGTCACTGGATGACTTGTCTAATATTTACTGGGTGTTTGCCGGCCCGAGAGGAGGCTGTTGACTCTGTCACGGACACTGACACGAAGCGAGCATCTCTGCCCTCAGCGGTTTGTTCAAGGTCGTTCAGGCAACCTTGGGTAAAGCTCAGGGGCGGAACGCGCGGCCTTGGGATTGCATCTTGTGCCTTGCCTATCCTGCTGCCCTGACAAATGAGTAATTGAGAAAACAGAAAATGGGCCTGGATTCAACCAAAACATATGCTTCCTTTTCTGCTTTGATTAAGAATATTAATAACAGGGAAAAAATGTGTCCTTTCAATCAGTAGCGCCCTGACAGTGATGAAGCAGTTGTTGTCACTTTCATTAAATCCGAGCACTTCCTGGCCCAGAACCGAGCTCTTCTCCTGCCCGCCTTCTCCCCGGCCGCGAGGCGGCCCAGGCTCCCAAGGATACCACCTCCCTCTGAAGGACTTCAGTTCTCAAAGGCCACGCTGCCTTTGCACAAATTGGGGTGGGGGGGCCCAAATTCAAAGGCCACCTGTGGGAAAAAAAAATAACTTTTTCAGGGAACCAGCAGATGTTTGCTTAAACAGATTTCAGTGTAGGAAAGCCCTCCTGATTTGGATCCTCCTAATTTAGAGATGAAAGTGATGCACAGACAGCATATGTGGTTCATATGGAGAAGCGTGTTCTAGCTGTTTTTCCCGGTGTAAATTGTCACAGTCATACAAACAAAGGTGATCTATGGCTTCAAGTCTGCATTTGGGAAGCTAAGGATTATTGGACCATGCTCCCAGTTTCTAGGACAGCTATTGATATGAATAGGGTGCCTCTGGTTGTAATGTTGATCTGATCTTACACATCTGTAGCGTTTTACCGTTTTACACAGTGTTATAACATGAATATTTCTTGAGATTCCTCAGAGGAGTCTGTTCCAGAAGCTAAGGATCAGGAAAGGTTAATAATTTGTCTCATAATACTTGATGTTAATTCTGTTTTAATTGGAATTTATAGCCCACTATTTTTTTGAGGTTTTTTTTTTTAATGTGTATACCATTTTTAAAGTCTTTATTGGATTTGTTAAAATACTGCTTCTGTTGTTTATGTTCTGTTTTTGTTTCTTTTTTTTTGCCCAAGAGGCATGTGGTATCTTAGCTCACCGACCAGGGATCAAACCCGTGCCCCCTGCATTTCAAGGCAAAGTTTTAACCAGTGGTCCACCAAGGAAGTCCCCCTATAGCCCACTTCCTGATGGACAGGATTTGAAGGAAAAGGGAGCTAGAGGATGGAGCCGGGATGAGAACCCTAGAGTCTGATTGCCTCACTGAGCTTTTGCTCATACCATGAGAGGGATCTCTGGGTACCACACTGGTACCACCCCTTTCACTAAATCCCAGGTTCATTTATATGGTTACATCCCTCCAAACTTTTCAATAAATTGTACCTGATCCTTCCATTATATTCCATTTCTTCTCTTCCACAACCTTTCTGAGACAGACAGGAACTGTAGAAGTGTGGTGGGGAAAGTGAATTTGAGTGCATTAACACATGGGATGTAATTAGGCACTAATGTATTCATTACAGTGTATCAGCTCTCCAGCTGATATAGACACAGTTCATTCCAAAGCATAAAGAAACAATTACCCTTAAAGCAAAAATACAAATAGTAATCATATGGTTCAGTTAACAAGAACCGTATTTCATAGTTGGAGTTTAGGTTATATTTCAATTAAAACTGTGGTTTTTTTTTTTTTTTTTTTGCCTATTCATGTGACATACCAAACCACCTTGCAATGTCTTAAGCCACCTGTTGGATTTCATACTGACAGTTTGAAAATGTGTTCTTATTAAAAATGACTTGGAGAGGGAGTGGTATATAATTCCCCAATCTTGCAGTGCTGGCCAGCAGATTCCTAGTGTCCGGAGAGAGGAAGGACTGGTGGGAGGGAAAGGAGACCTGTTTCCTAGTGTGGTCTGCTGCCCGTCAGGGGCAGAGTGCCAGAAGGCGACTGAAAAGTTGGGTATCTATAAAGTGTAGGTCAGGCAAGTGGAAGCGTTGAGGCGGAAGAGGTCTGCTGGGATCAGGACCATAAAGAGTCTTCACTTCCTCTTGTGGGTGATGCAGAGCCAGGGAAGGGTTTGTGTTTTGGACAGATCCTTCGGTGGCCGTGTGGAGGGCAGAATGGAGGAACACCAGTCTGGGAGCAAGGAGACCTGGTGGAAGGCTGCATTGGTCATTCAGACGAGGCTGTGGGATTCACACCTTGGGCAGCGGTCAGCTGGATGGGAGGAGACTGACTTTTAAATATCCAGGTAGAAAGGGCTTCCCTGGCAGCCCAGTGCAGGGGTCACGGGCCCAGTCCGTGGTCTGGCAGGACCCCACGTGCCAAGGGGCAGCTGCCACAGTTCCTGAGCCTGACTCTCGAGCCCTCCAGGCCACAGCTGATGAAGCCCTTACGCCGAGAACCTGTGCTTCTCGACAAGAGGAGCCACCGCAGTGAGAAGCCCGGGTGGCGCAACTGCAGAGGAGCCCCCATTTGCTGCGACTAGAGAAAGCCTGTGGGCAGCAGTGAAGACCCAGCACAGCCAAAATAAATAGTAAAATTAAAAAAAATAAAAATAACCAGGAAAAAAATATAGTATCTAGGAAAAAAAATATTCAGAAGGCAAAACTTGATATAAGTGGTGCTGTCCTTTGCATATCTCCCTTTTGGAGGGACTTATCATTTTACAAATGGGTATTTTCTCCCTCTCAGTGTTGATTCTGAGATGTGTTGGACGTGTGGATATAGTTCATTGATTCTAACTGCTGTGCAGCAGCCATTGATGAATAAGCCTAATTTGTTTTCCCACCCTCCTGAGGAGGAAGCAGGTTTAGTTTCTGCTATTTCCCTATTGTAAGTAGTGTTTTACTGAAAACTCTTTATATGCTTCCTTGTGTACATGTGCTAAAGCTTTTCCCCCTTAAGGTGCATCTCTAGAAGTAGAATTGCAGATACATCCTTGAATATAAAGAACTCATAAGAAAAAAGACAGCAGGAAAACGGGAGCCAAGGGTATGAATAACAGGCAGTTTATAGAATATGAGAGGAATCTGTAAATACAAAAAGATGCTCAATCTTACCAGTAACCAAGAAAAAGAAGAATTAAATGTGGCACTGGTGGTAAAGAACCCGCCTGGGAATGCAGGAGACCTTAAAACCGAGGGTTTGATCTGGGGTCAGGAAGATCCCCTGGAGGAGGGCATGGCAACCCACTTCAGTATTTTTGCCTGGAGAATCCCATGGACAGAGGAGCCTGGTGGGCCATGGTCCATAGGGTCACAAAGAGTCAGACATGACCGAAGTAACTTAGCACGCACGCACACATGGAAATATTTCAAACCCATGAAATTGCCAAAGAATTGATGCTTTTGAACTGTGATGTTGGAGAAGACTCATGAGAGTCCCTTGGACTGCAAGGATATCAAATCAGTCAATCCTCAAGGAAATCAGTCCTGAATATTCATTGGAAGGACTGATGCTGAAGCTCCAATACTTTGACCACCTGATGCGAAGAACTGACTCATTAAAAAAGACCCTGATGCTGGGAAAGATTGAAGGCAGAAGGAGAAGGGGACAACAGAGGATGAGATGGTTGGATGGCATCACCAAGTCGATGCAGATGAGTTTGAGCAAGGTCCAGGAGTTGGTGCTGGACCGGGAAGCCTGGTGTGCTGCAATCTATGGGGTCACAACGAGTCGGACACGACTGAGCGAGTGAACAGCAATTGATTTACAGGAGCTCCATATATTATGAATATTAATCTTTTATCTTTTTTTACATGTCAGTCTTGTCCTTTTCTTTTTATGTTTTAAGTGACTTTTGATTTCAAATGATGTCATCAACCTTAATATACATATGTTCTTCAATATTTTGTCCTGATGTTTTTATGGATTTTTGTTTTATAAGTTTAAGTCTTTAATCCATCCAGAATTTAGTGACAGGTGTGTGGTGGGGATCTGACTACTTATTCTATATATGTATTGATTAGACCTTTGTGTTTTGTGAAATCCTATTCAGAGCGTTTGGTCTCATTTTTCATATATATATATAAGCAGAGGAAAGTATGGGTTTCTGTTTAGGAAGTGACTCTGAGAGTCCTTTAAAATGTGGACTCCTTTCTTTTTTTCTCATTTCTTTTATTGTGAGTAAACCTGTCACAGTTTATCCCAGTGAAAAGTGGATACCTTCAGACTCTCTTTAAACCATAAATTAGGGATGGAAACATGCTATTTATAGCAACAGAGACGTTTTCTTTTTAAACCCTGAAGTTGCGGATGGGGGGCCGGGAGGCTACCTCAAACCTCTAAACTTCTCACAAGTGGCCAGAGGTGGTAAAGTAAAACTAATGAAAACGAAAAGCTTCTGGGAGAGAAGTTTAAGATGCAAAGATCCACATATCATTAAACTCTTGACTTCTCTCATCATTCACTGGCAAATTGGTTTCTTAAAATTTAATTTGGCCTCAGCGTGAACCGATTCCTCTCTCCCTGCCCTAAGCGTGGACAACATCACCCCGAGCATCCTGGGTCTTCCCTGCGTGTGCTACCTACTCTGCACTTAGGGTTTTACGCCCACCTGACACCATCTCTTGACATGTCCTTAAAATTCATTAAACGACCAGCCATCCCATTATTTCCCCGTGAGAGCTTAGAACATCTCTGCTGCTTTGTTCCTTTTCCTCCCAGGAGGCCAGTGAACTCCCTCCTCAAATTTAAATTCCATTGGTTTATATCAGGGGTGGACCCAGGTTTTGTGGGGCCAGAAGCTTCTATAATTTAGGGGGTTCTTTTAATGCAAGAGCACCAAATTATAAATATAAAATTAGGTGCAGATGCAGAGACCTGAAACCCAAGCCTCATTATAGCCTCCCAGCAGATTCAGTCCTGCTTGTTTTATCAGGAGCCTCTGTACATGAAAGACGGGGGAACAGCCGTCTGCATCCATGCGGTGGTGTGACTCTCCTTTATATCACCAGCTGCCACAACTTGAGGATCATCTTCTTTTGTTTTGTTTGTGTTTTAAAAAAAAAAAAAAAGACATTTAAGAGCAGACCCGTACTTCAAGGTGGCTTTAATGTCCGAAGTGGAATTAGTCCAGTGGAGAACTTCTTTCAGCAGCGTCCCTGCCACCTCCCCGGTGCTCAGATGTGACGTTTGATCAGTGCGTAGCTGGGAGCTCAGTGTGATAATGTGGGTCATTACTCTCACAAGCCTTTGGAGCCTGAATTTACAGCTCTCACTTTGCATATCTGCTTGCAGAAGCACTCAGAGAGGTTTGCAAGTGCAGCGAGGGCTTTGTTTATCATTCTGTCCCTCCAAAAATCAGAGAAGCCAAGAGTGACCAGCGTCTTTATAAATAATGCAGGGCACGACAGTGACACCTGGCATGTTATGAGCCGGTCACCGTGCAGAGTGCTTCCCTGACTCTGCATTCTTATCACACACGCATGTACACACACACACACGCATGTACACACACGCATGTACACACATGCATGTACACACACATGTACACACACGCGCATGTACACACACGCGCATGTACACACACGCGCATGTACACACACGCATGTACACACACATGTACACACGCATGTACACACATGCATGTACACACGCGCACATGTACACACGCATGCACACACACGCATGTACACACACGCATGTACACACACATGCTTGTACACGCGCACATGTACACACGCGCACATGTACACACACGCATGTACACACACACGCATGTACACACACACGCATGTACACACACACCAGGAGGCAGGCGCTATTCTGACCCTTGCTTTCCAGACGGGGAAGCTGAGCTTTAGAGAGAAGGTTCCCCACTCGAGGCCTCGGGGCAGTCCAGAGCACCCCTTCAGAACCCTCCAAGACCAACGCTCTCCTTTGACCTTTTGGAAGCGGACTTGGAGTGGTGGCGTGACCTGAGTTTTTATCTTTTGACATCAGGTTGTATTGAATGCTGTGTGTTAATCATAGTTTGAAAAAAAATGTTATGGGTATTCCATTTGATCCCCCAGGAGAGTCCTGTAAGATACGTACTGTTATTATCCTCATTTTACAGATGAGAAAACTGGGACACAAAATTTCCAAATCACTGCTGAGGAGCTGAGATTGAATTTTAAGAAGTCTCCCCGCTGCCCCTACTCCCCTCCTCCATTTCCAGGCTCCAACCTAGACCCTCCCTCGGAGGACTGTTAAAGCTGGTACAATTCCTGACTTAGTACAGTCCTCCAACCTCCCTGGCCTTTCAGAGACCCAGAGAGACTAGTTTCCTTCCAGTTTTTTTAAATGAAGAAATGTATAGACAGGATTGCCAAAACTGGCTTATTTTAAGTATTAAAGTTTGGCCAACGTTTTAAACTGAAAAGACAAGGCAGTACATTTCTGCTATTTGCAAGATAATTATGAGATTCCTAAGAGAGATTGATCCTTGGGGCTTTTATAGACGAGTGATATGGGAAGAAGGCATGATTTCCAGTTGATGATAAACATCTCTTTTCAATCCCGTGAGTGTCTGTTGAAAAACACACCAGAAATCTAAACTTGAGGTTCTTGGGAATGAGAGGGGTGGGCCATGTCCTGATCCAGTTTGGTGGGATGTAGAGCCAACAGCCAGACCTTTTTTATTTTTTTGCCAGTGTTGGTAGTGAAAAGCATAAATGTTTATAGAAGATTATACTAAAATACTGAGCTTTGTTGTCTTGGATCAAGAGAAAAACCACTGAATGCTAATTGACAAGAGACAGGGTTTGATGTTCTATATAGTTTATGGTTAGTTTCTTTTTTAAAAAACTCCTTCATTTCTGATTATTTCCTGGTCAGGCTAACTTTCTAGGAAAGAAAGATAATTGTTTTGAAATCAGGAAGTTTCAAGTTATTGTCCCCTGTGGGTAAATGAAAATGCAGGGCCGACTTCTGGCCCTCCTCGTGATTCTCTCTGCAAATTTAGGAAAATCAGTTAACCTTTTGTTTGTTGTTGTTTTTTTTTTTTTTGTCTGTACGGTAAGGATGACAGTGTCAGCATCAGATTTTTCCAAAGCATTTTCCAGAGCCTTGAATGAAAGCTATTAAAAATATTGCCAGCACTGTCCCCAGCTCCCACCTAGCACTTGGCTCCAATTACCAGCCACTTACAAATGTGTGTAGGTAAGACTCTTATCACCCGATGCTAATCACATCTCACACAGTTGTGTTTTGTCGTCTCTTTTCAAAACCTAATGTTTTGGTAGCAGTGACTTCCTTCAGGAGTTAGAAAATGTAGCCACATTTCTCTACAAATGTCACATTCTTATTAGCACGTTACCCATCCATCCCGTATGGGATTATGCGACTCTGTTCACAGATATAATCAGCTTTGTATCTTCATCCGAGGATAACACACTAGTGAGGTTGAAATCTTGACTTGTCATCGGAATTGCAATTCTTCCCGGGAGCTGGGAGGGGCGGAGGCTGCGTCGACCTGTTCAGAAACGCAGTTGTCTCTAGAATCTCAATCCCTCGTTCACCTTCTCTTCTCCTTTAGTACGGCGACTACGACCCCTCTGTTCACAAGCGGGGATTTCTGGCCCAAGAGGAATTGCTTCCAAAAAGGGTAAGAAGTCAAAGTTACTGTTTGAGAAGACATAACCGAAGGACCTGCAGGAATACAGGATGGCCGTATCGAGAACATTTTCATAAATGTTTTGTCATCAGTCTTGAGTAAAGATTTGTGGAATTCCTTTGGGGTTGTCAGGACAGGCTTGGCCTGCAGTTGGTCCTTTCTTTAAAGGTGGGTGAGCAACACTGGTTCCCAGGGAGGGGCATAGAGCAGCCTGCGTTCAGCCCGGGGAAGTGAGCTGTTTGCTGCTGCAGGGCGCAGGTAGATGGGTGGGTGCTGTAGCTTTTTTTTTTTCTTTCGCTGTAGCTTTTAATCCCTGGTGTCTTTGGTCTTGTTGATTATCCACAGAAGCAGGCCTGCCCTCTTCTTTAGCCACTTCTGATTCTCTGGCTCCACTCACCTGTCATGTGTGATGAAGGCCTGCTCCCCCTTTCCCCTGATTTGACCTGCTCCCCTGATGGCTTCTGTAAGAGTCAAAGGCAGCTCCCGGGCCAGGGGGTCCAGCTCCTGAGATCCTGCCTCTGGGCTGCACAGCCCAGGAGAGGGGCCACTGCCAGCCCGAGAAATGGTTCAGCCTTCTGAGTTGTGACTCAGATCAAACGATGCTCGTTTACTCACCCACCTCTGCCTGTGACTGGCCCCTTGTATGTGGTTTTTGGGGCTCCCCTGGTGACCCAGATGGTAAAGAATCTGGCTACGATGTGGGAAACCCAGGTTCAATCCCTGAGTGGGAAGATCCCCAGGAGAAGGCAATGGCTACCCACTCCAGTATCCTTGCCTGGAGAATCCCATGGACAGAGGAGCCTGGCGGGCTGCAGTCCATGGGGTCACACAGAGTTGGACACAGCTGAGTGGCTAACACACACACACAGACACACACATGCCTTGCTGTTTTGTAAAAATGATGCATAATTATCAAAAAGGTGTGTGGTTTTTGCTTCGCTGTCTTCCCCGCCAGGTGATAAATCTGTATCAGATGACTCCGGAAATGTGGGAGGAGAGGATCACAGCCTGGTACGCAGAGCACCGAGGCCGGGCCAGGTGAGGCTGCTCTTCGCTGGCGGACGTCTCCCCGGGGCCTCTTTTCTTTTTTAAGGAGCTGCAAAACTGGGACGTGCTTGTTGAACAAAAGGCAGTACCAGAGTACACAAAAGAAAAAGGGATCGCCAGCAGCCACTCCGGGCTCCAGTATTGTGTGTGTCCTTTTCTCGCGCGTGGGGGCGTGGGTACTTCCCGCCTGCCAGGATGCGCAGACCTGCCACCTTCAGTGCTCATGCAGGTTCATTTTAAGATTCCTACTGTGTGCGTGCCCCTTAGCTTTTGCATCCATGCCTTGACTGATGGTGTTTGGAGTAGCTGTAGGTCTGTCAGTTTCACAGAACATTCTGCAGTGTACAGTCTTACATCATTATATACTTGTATAGTCGTTCTGAGGAGAGATCCTTCAGAAGAAAAAGAGTTGCTCAGTCAAAGAGGGTGAGCGCTTTGCATCTTGAAAGGTGCCTCCCAAATTGTCCTGCAAAAAGCCTGTACCCGTTTACACGGCCGTGGGCAGAGTGTGAAAGGGCCCTACCTCCCTCCCCCTTCTAATCCCCAACAATTACCAATCTAATTTTTGTGATCTCAAACATGAAATTTTGTATCTCTAGTATCGTTAGCTTTTCCCCAATCACTTTGGGAATTAATCATCTTCTCGTTAGCCTTTAACATTTTTTTTTTCTGTTTTTCAAATCAACTTCCTATGACTTTTTTTTTTGAACTCTTAAAAAATGTACACCAGAAAGTGGACAAGTCATAAATATAAAACTTGATGGATTCTTACAAAGTGAAAACCCGAGGTGACAGGAAACACCAGGTGCCCCTTCATTCCTCCCTGGAGGTGACCACTCTCCCACATCCAACTCCATGGGTGAGTGTTGTAGTTTTAAAGATTATGTAAGTGTGGTCAGTTTCTATTATCTGGGCCTCACTTCTTTTACTCAGGGTCGTATTGTGCGATCTGGGCTTGTGGCCTGCAGCGGTGGATCCCCCCCCTTTTTTTTAATTGCTGTGTAGTATTCCGCTGTATTAATAGACCACACATCCTTCATCCGTCCCACTGTTAACAGGCCTTTAGGTGTTTCCTGGTTTTTGTTGTTACGAATAACATCAAACAATCTTTCAAACAACGGTACATCAACAATACATGTGTGATTTCAAGTTACTTCATCTTGCCACCACAGTGTCCCCTAGGGGTTGAATTTTTAAAATTCATTTGAGGCCATTTCGAGATTGGAGAAGAGAAGGCAAGGTCATAGACTTGAGTTAAGATGTTTCAACACTATACCTGTCTGAGGGTTTTTTGCAAGTCATCGCTACTTTAAGAGCTGCCTTTAAGTCTGACTCATAACTTAGAAGTGGGCGTCCTGGCTGGGGTTTTACAACCTGAATCGCTCTCACCCCAACCTCCAGTAACAAAGGAATCAGATCAGGAGGCGAGCTGTCAGGTTGTTTGCAGACAGAGATGCTTCGTTACCAAAACCTTCTAGGTGAAGAAAGCACGCAGTTGGATAAAGCAACAGCTAAAATAAAATTGTGAACATCCAGATCCATTTGAGGGAGCAGATATAGCATGTGCTCATCTCGAGATGGGTGTCACTGTTTACCAAGGGCAAAGCGTGAAATTGAAGCCAAGAGACACGCTAATGAATCTGTTCTCTAGTTTTCACGGGGATGGGAAGTTCTGCCTGACCTTAGTGTGGTTAATAGACTCAGGGTTGGGCAGAGCCGGGCTGGCAGCTGCCAGGCTCACATCTTCATGCAGGTTCGAGGCTCAGCTTGGCGCCCGCCGCCCTCCGGTGACGGAGTCTTTCCTTCTCTTTGCAGGGACGAAGCGGAGATGGAGTATTTAAAGATAGCTCAGGACCTGGAGATGTACGGTGTGAACTACTTCACAATCCGGGTGTGTGGAAGCCCCTGCGAGTTCCCAGGGCGTAGATGGAGGCGGAATCAGGGGCAGACTGCTAAAATGGGTTCTTCCTGGTCCCAGGGTGGCAGACACTTCGCCGGTTCAGTGGCCAACAAGGGAAGAGGCAGGGGAGAGGGTCCAAGAGCCTCAGTTTCTATTCTGGGCCTTCAATTAGACGCTAGGTAATGAAGTGTCGGTGGAGCCTCGGGGGGCCCAGTCCTGCTTCGGCAGAACCCCGTCTGAATGCTCTGGTGGAACATTCGATTATTTCTGGCTCTGTGAGATCCGGGCCCACGGGGAACACCTGTAAATACTTTCTCCCCTCAGGACATGAGGAGAGTAAAGCTGCGCTTTTACAGATTACTGATTTGTTTGGGTGGGAACTCTCCCTGGCAGGCTAATTGGTTTTCTACTCAGACCATTAATACTCTCTGTCCTCTGGGAACCCGTGGCTTGTACACTGGAGAAGCGTTTGTTTCCAGCCCCCTGTCCAGCCCTCAGAGCTTTTTTTTTTTTTAGTACCCTGAGCATCTTTCTCCCAAGGTTCTGTTGCTGGGTGCAGTGCCTTCCCAAGAATTCATGCGATTTGCTGACCTATTTCATAGCGGGTTCCAAACTGTAGATGAGCAGACAGTTTAAAAAAAAAACAACCATCCACACTGGGCCACCTTAGTCATTATAGTTCAGGCTTGCTTTCCTTTTTCTGGTGTCCATAAATTTTGTATTTGTTGTTGTTTAATCACTAAGTCTTGTCCTATTCTTTGAGACCCCATGGACTGTAGCCTGCCAGGCTCCTCTGTGCATGGAATTTCCCAGGCAAGAATACTGGAGTGGGTTGCCATTTCCTTCTCCAAAATTTTGTATTACATTTAGGTAAATTGAAACACATTTAAAATACCCTCGGGATAGCTTTCTGCTTTGTTTTCTAAATACATAACTTTAATGGATTATTTGCATAAAATAAGGCGCACTGACAAATCATGTCATTTTGTATAGTGTACAAATGCATAAAAGGTTTTCCATGATAATACTGAAGGTTGTTTTGTAAAATTTTATCAATTCATATTTGCTAATCATTTGGTTTATTTCAGGGCAGACTCATTTGACACATTTCTGTGGTTTTGTCCATACAACTTCTCTTGCCCCACCATCTACATTGTAGAAAACTAGATCTTTATAATTCTTAAAAAAAAAACAAAAAACAGTTTCTTTGGGGGCACTAATTCTACAGCAGCAGTCTGACTACATTATACTATTTTGTGCGTATATGTCTCATATTGCATGACAGATGAGGGTAAGGGATATTCTAGTGTCTTAGCGTTAACGTTCCTGAAATTTCGCCATCATCTAAGGAAGCTGTGTGCTTGAAACAATTTAAAAGGGGCGTCTTCAGTCCTCGCCTCTCTCTGTTTATTCTCTATAAGTCTTGGAATCCTCATGATAGGAGACAAGACGGTGGGATCCTTTTTTTTTCTTTAAAAATTTAAGTGAGAAGCATAATGAAATATCCTGTTTTCCAAAACGTAGATTCTGAAAGCACAAAGCCTCACTTGTGTTAATGCAGTGGTTTTAAGAGCTCTGCAGACGAGCTCACGATTCTCCCGCACGCTTTGGTGATCGCACCTGACTCCAGGGTGTTAGACGGAGTAAAAAGATTTTCTCCTCCACCTGCTGTTAGCTTGGTACTTCTCACAGTCGGGGCATGTCCTTCGCTTGCCGACCTGTCTTCCTGCCCTGGAGTCTTGGTTCCTTTTCCTTGTTGTCAGTAAGAGGCAGACGCAGGGAGCTGGCCACCACCACTGTTCGAGGGCAGATTGCCCAGGGCCGGGGCCCGGGCCCTAGGTGGTGCGTGCTGGTCTGCAGTGTGAGGGCCCAGGGCATCGCCCTCTGGTGCGCTGGCTGCTGGCTGGACTGCCGTTAGAGGCCTAGCCTGTATGCAGTCTGTCAGTTAAAGTTTTAAACAGCTTTACTGGAGTGTAATTTACTTTCAATCCATTTTGGTATTTTTTCTCCCCAATATCTTACAATAAAAAATTTCCAACATACAGGGAAGTTGGAAGACTTTTGAGTAAGGACCTATGTACACCCACTGCCTGGATTCCACAGTTAACAGTTTTCTATATCACACTTGCTTTATCACATTGAAACTGCATTTTAAAGTAAAATAAGGCCACCTGATCACAGCTCTTAGAATTTTCTTTCTGGTAGTACAACCACCTCTTCTTTTAACATGAAGGGTGTTTAACCCTACAGGTTTTTATTCTACATCTGTGATAAGCCGGCTATGTAATTAGTAACAACACTTCCGTTACCGCTGTTTTAGCCACTGACACTCCCCAGGTGGCTCAGTGGTATAGAATTGCCTGCCAAGGCAGGAGTCGTGGATTTGGTCCCTGGGTTGGAAAGATTCCCTGGAGAAGGAAATGGCAACCCACTCGAGTATTCTTGCCTGGAAAATACCATAGACAAAGGAGCCTGGCGGGCTACTATCCATGGGATTGCAAAGAGCTGGACACAACTTAGGACTGAGCACGCACACTCACACTTTGTCTCTTGTTGGCACATGCGCACTGCACTCACACTTTGTCTCTTGCTGGCAAAGTTGCAAGGTACCTGAGGCAGTGGTGGGCACCCCCAGTGACCTCTCCATGGGACACACCAGTCGTAAGAATCGTCTCATTTTGCCTCCCCCTGCCCCAGTGCAGGAGGCCGGGGGCCCCCCCAGGTTCGAGGACAGTGGTGACTTGTGTCAGGAGCTGTTGAAACTTGTCACACGTAATGGTCTACATCAATTCTTCTGGAAGCTGAGCAAGACCTCGCGCCTCAGCTGGAGCTGACGGTGGCTGTTCTCTGTCGAATCTACAGAATAAAAAGGGCACAGAGCTGCTGCTTGGAGTGGATGCTTTGGGGCTTCACATTTATGACCCTGAGAACAGGCTGACCCCCAAGATCTCCTTCCCGTGGAACGAAATCCGGAACATCTCCTATAGCGACAAGGAGGTAGGTCGAGTCTGCCCAGCAGACACCCCGGCAGCCCAACGGAACCTTCTCTGTCTCTTCTCCTTCCGGAGCAGCCCAGGCCAGCCTGCTCCTTGTTAGCAGCAAGATCCTTTAATTCCCAGGCTTTGGGTTTTTACTTGTTGATTTTTATAGCATTTACAGAACAATATTGGCATCCTGTTTTCAAATAGTATCACTAAACCCTCCCTGCTGACTAACAAGAGACTGGGAAGATCAACTTGTCAGGACTAAGCCCCAGAGAGCTGTAAAGAAACCAGAAAGTAACCCTTTCTTATTCCTTGGCTTTCTATTACTGGTGAGAATTCTGTTTGTCTCTTAAGTGTGGTGTTTACTAAACTCTCTGTGTCCAGAGCTTGATTCAATGTGATGTCAATATTTATATATACATAAATCTCTGTGGGGCATCCCTTGTGGCTCAGCTGGTAAAGAATCCTCCTGCAATGTGGGAGACCTGGGTTCGACCCCTGGGTTGGGAAGATCTCCTGGAAAAGGGAAAGACTACCTACTCCAGTATTCTGGCCTGGAGAATTCCACGGATTGTATGGTCCATGGCCTCGCCAAGAGTCAGACACGACTGAGAGACTTGTGCTCACTCAAATCTCCATGGTACATACATGAATTGTGTGTATTATATATATTATGCGAATAATATACACATACCAGCAATGATATAAACAAGGATATCAGACTAACTTGCTTATAAGAATTCAAGAATAATGAACTTCAGATAACTTGGATTCAGTATCACTGTATACGATGGTCCTATAGGTCCTAATAGGAAGTCCATGGGGTTGCAAAGAGTGAGTGAGCTGACTGATACAAGATGGTGACTTTTCCCGAATGCTGTAATCCTGTATTCATTCACTCATTCATGGTTAAGTTTTAAAAATTGTCTTATTTAATTTATTTTTGGTTGTGCTGGGTCTTCGTTGCAGTGTGTGGGCTTTCTCTAGCAGCGGTGCAAGGCTTCTCATTGCAGTGGCTTCTCTTGCTGGGGAGCACAGGCTTTAGGGCGCTCGGGCGTCAGTAGTTGCGACTCCATGCTCTAGAGCACAGGCTGAATAGTTGTGGCGCTTAATTGCCTGAAGGCATGAGGGATTTTAGTTGCTGGACCAGGGATCAAACTCAGGTCCCTGCCTTGGCAGGCGGATTCTTAGCCGCTGGGCCACCAGGGAAGTCCCCCCTCCCTGGTTAATTTTCAAGGAGTTTTCGAGCATCTGCTCAGTGTCAGGCTTCGTGCGGGAAACAAAGATGGAGCGAATGCAGTCTCAGCCCTCAAGGAAGTTCTAGTCAAGCGGTGACTCAGCCGCCGTGACACATCACTGCCGCACGAGGGGCCGGTGACAAAGAGGGTGACGATCCGGCGCTTCTCCGCCAGCCGGCAGCTTCGCCCCGGCTCTGATTCAGCCCTCACAGGAACACCGCCGCGGGAGGAGGGGCCGTGTTCTGGCTGCTCCGCGCCCCTCGGGAAGCGGGGACCCAGAGGGGGCAGGGGAGCTGTGTCTGGCAGGGGGGCACCAGCAGAAGCCACGGCCCCTGCGGTTCCTGGGGAGACACAGAGGATGAGCCCCGAGGCTCAGGACATGGGGCCCAGGAGTGCAGGCCTGGGCCGTGCCCAGCGACGGGCTGGTACCCGCGCAGCCAGGCCTGAGCGCTGAGGAAGTGAGTAAGATACGGCTCACGTGGTCGCCTGCAGGGCCCCCACCTCCAAGCCGGTTTCCTGTTTTCCCTTCCCTCATGTGGCAGCTCTGAGGAAAGGAACACCGGCCCCCGGTTGCCAATACGTGGCTGAGCTCCCCTCGGCCACGCTTGACGAGACAGATTGAGCCTCTTAACTCAAAACATTCTGGCTTTCAGATTTTTTGCACGTAGCCCAGGAGATGAGCATTTAAGGTATTTCATTTTTTAAAAGGCCCTGAAATGGAAAGTTCCACGTGACTGGAAGCAGCAGTAGGGTACGCGGGTAGTTTTTCATCTCTAATTTCATAAAAGTCTGTTTACGGCACATCCGCACCCTTGGCGTGCTAAAAGGTCCCGAGACGCTCGTCCTTCAGAGAAGCCAGGCAGCAAAGGCTCCCCTCGTGCAGCCCGACGTGAAACTCTAATGTTCCCTCTCCCGGGGGCTGGGCGCCATTGCCTGCCGTCACGTGCCGTCACGTTAGTAACTCTCGCAGCGCGGGTTATCAGACCGACGGGACATGACGGGAAGGAGCCTGGGGCGCTCTGCCCCCAGGCTGTGACGGCACAAGTCCTGGTTTATCCCAGGTGACCCGCGGGTGCCGCATGTGTGCCCCACAGTGGCACAGAACCTGTGTGGGTTCCCCGCTCCCTGAGGTCTCCCACTGGCGGCTTTGGGGTTTGGCAGCCAGGCCAAAACTAAGCTCTCGAAATTCATAAATAGCAACCTGCACAAGAGCAACACTGCTTCTCAGCTCACCTGACCAAAAGCCACACAAACGATCGTTCCTCTGTCCTCCGTGTGCTCCCCCCTTGTTGGACAGCAGGGTGTGGAAAGGAAATACCTGAGAAGAGAGCTTCCCGAATGCCTTTATCTGCTTAGCAAGTCTTTCGTGGGAGTGGGCTTTTCATGTTGGAAGTGCAGCTTTGGAATCTGGGCTCTGTCTGATCTCATCAGGAAGAGGTAAGAAGACCAGCTGGGTGTTTTCTGCGGCCCAGACCCCAATCTGGCCCTAGGGTCTCTTCCTGGTTTCTCCCCCACCCCCATCCTTATTCATCTTCCTCTCCACTTTGATTTTGAGGGTTATGTCTTCCTTCTCTACGCCAGTCCATTCTTCATGTCCCTTGACTGCGTTCCTTCTCTTAACAGCATCATCAGGCCATCCCCGTGTTCGGAAATCTGGGGTGACTCCTGACTGCTGTCGCATCAAGCCTAAGCCCTGCTGATTGTCTGTCCCCAGCCCACCTGACCACCCCCAGCTCTTGCCTTCCTCCCAGTTTTAGCCCCTGGATATATCTGTTTGGCTGTGGTGGGTTGTCATCACGGCACAGGCTTTTCTCTAGTTTATGCGAGCACGTGCAGGTCGCTAGTTGAGGTGCGCAGGCTTCTCGTTGCGGCAGCATTGTTTTCTGGTTGGGGAGCGCAGGCTTTAGGGCACACCGGCTTCAGTTGTTGTGCCGTGTGGGCTCAGGACTTATGGCTCCCAGGCTCTGGAACACAGGCACAGTGGCTGTGACGCATGGGTTTAGTTGCTCCAAAGCATGTGCAATCTTCCTGGATCAGGGATCAAACCCGTGTCTCCTGCATTGGCAGGCGGACTCTCTACCACTAAGCCACCAGGAAAGCCCCTCACATGGTTTTCTGTTAGTCATCAAAGAGCTAATACTGTGTGTCTTTCTCTCTCACACGTGCATACAAACACACACATGCACACATACATACATGCACGCGCGCATGCACACACACACACACACACACACACACACACAGTGCTCATTTCTCCATCTCTGCTTTATTTCTATTGCTTGCCCTGTCCAGAATACCCCTCCATCCTGCCTTTTAGCTTCTCTGTCACATTCTTTGTATAAGGCCAGCTCATGTCCCTCCTACTCTGAGGATTTGTGGTCTGTGCCACCCAGCCAGGCAGCGACGATTGATGTGACCTGTTGAGCAGTTGACTCTGGTTGGTTTAGTTGGGGCCAGGTTGAGAGCCTCCTGAAGGTGCCTTAGACTCTGAGATGGCCCGTCCAGCGTTGGCCTCAAGGTCGGGCCCATCTAGGGTTTAACTTCAGGTTTCCAAGCCTAAGATGGTGCTAAGAACTCAGCTTCCAGGATCCTGAACCCCCTGGGACAAGGATCTTGGCCAGAGGGTCGCCAACTTTCTGTGATTGCCCAGTTGGTGGCAGCGCTATTGGCTGTCAGAAACTGAAGCTGTCTTCTGCTTTTTCCTTTCAGTTTACCATTAAGCCTTTGGATAAGAAAATCGATGTCTTCAAATTTAACTCCTCAAAACTTCGTGTCAATAAGTTGGTAAGTTAAGATCCTGGCTTTTATTATGGCCTGTAGTGTTTCTGTGAGACTGAAAGCCTTTTATGAACCAGAATCAGAGCGACGTGTTGTGAGTTGTGAAATGATAACCCGTTTGGTATATGCTTTCCTGATCAGCCTTGAAGAACTTCTCTTTAGCTTCACTGGAAGAGTCACACCACGGGCTTCCCTGGTGCCTCAGTTGGTAAAGAATCTGCCTGCGATGCAGGAGACTTGGATTCCATCCGTGGGTCGGAAAGATCCCCTGGAGAAGAAAATGGCAACCCACCCAAGTATTCTTGCCTGGAAAATCCCGTGGACAGAGGAGCCTGATGGGCTAAAGTCCATGGGGTCCCAAGAGCTGGACATGACTTAGCCACTAAACCACCACCAGCAAAGAATCAAATCTACATTTTGTGATGAGGAACTTTTTTTTTTTAAGTTATTTTTATTAAAGTATTTCATACGTATGAAAGGATAAGTATAATGTATCTATGAGGTATAAAGAATGACAGGAATAAACAACAACTTAGCCACCACCTAGCTAAGAAATACCACGCTCCCAGACTTCCCTGGTGGTCCAGTGGTTGGTTGAGACTGTGCTTTCACTGCAGGGGACATGGGTTCAATCTCTGGTTGGAGAAGCTCCACCTCCCATGCAGTCTGGCAGAAAAAAAAAGAAAGGAAATAGCACACTCCCATCACTGTGGGAACCCCCTCCCACACTGGCACCCTGCCAGCCCCCTGCTCCCCAAGGGTGACCAGTGTTCTCAGCTGTGTGCTAAGTATCCCCCCCAGATATTCAAGAACTTTTATTTCACGTATGTCTAAACAAGGACGCTAGCAAATTCTGTATGTTCTTGAAATGTATATATGTGCTGTCAACTGTATTCCTCTGTCACTTGCCTTTTTTACCCCCTTTTTTTTTTGGAGATTTATCTATGTTGATGCTTAAAAATACGGTCCTGAGTGGCTGAGCGCACACACGCTTCACTGCTGAATAGTATTCCATTCTGTATTGTATGAAACATACATGTAGTTTTTCCTCCACGCTCCTATCAGTAGACAGTGCTTTCTGCGCCTTGTGTGTGCCCACTGGTGCGTGCGGGCAGTCGCTGCCCGGGAGTTCAGAGCACGTCTTCGTGTAGCCCTGCACGCAGCCCGTGTCCACGGGTGTTCACACGTCCCCTGCTTTCCTGGCCGCAGATTCTCCAGCTGTGTATTGGGAATCACGACCTGTTTATGAGGAGAAGGAAGGCCGATTCTTTGGAAGTCCAGCAGATGAAAGCCCAGGCCAGGGAGGAGAAGGCCAGAAAGCAGGTGAGCGGGTGTTGGATCTGCCGCTGTCGCCCCGTGGTGGCCTCAGCCGGGAGGTAAGGGGTGGCCGTCCTCTGATCATGAAAGTGCCTACTCTCATTTTATCCCTGTTGGATCCTTCTGGCCGATGAATAAATGATGGTGGGGCGTCAGCTCTGGAAATGAGGAATAAACTGTAGCGGTGTATCTCAAAGACATGTCCCTGGTTATTTCTCCAGTGAAGTGAGTGAAGCGTGGTCAGTGCAGGTTCGGGCAGAGATAGCCAAACCCACACGTATCCACCCGCCCATCCATCTCCCCATCCATCCACCCATCCATCTCTGGTCTGTGCCGCTAAGCTGCCCGTCTCCTGTGCCCAGCCTTTTCCTTTTCCAATTAGCTGGTGATGGAAGACAGGGCGCACCCAGCAGCCTGCTGATGGAATGCTAATTAGGCCCCGGCCGCACTTCCCTGCTGCAGGTCAGGCCGGGCGTCGCAGCGGCCACAGTGGGAGGTGCCGGGAGCCTCCGTTATCATCAGCCCGGACCATCCACATCATTGTTTTCCACTCATAGACCTTTCCGACTCACCGAAACCCACACAGCTTATCTGAACCTCGCTGCTGCAAATGTCAGCCGTGGTTGTGGATGTACTACCAGACAGAGGAGCAGCAGCTGCAATCAGCTGCCCTCGGACTTGCAGGCTTGGAGGGGTGATGCTTAGTCTGTGCGCAGCTCTCTGCCTCGGGTCCTCCGGCGAGGCTGGCTCCCGGCCCCGGGATTTAGGACGAAATGCCCAGTTGGATCCATTGTGCTCTCGGCTCTCCATCTCTTTGCTCTCTTGAGACATAAGGCCACAGACATACTCACTGGGATGCTTTGTGTGTGTGTGTGCATGCGAGGTTGGGGGGGGGGGGGCAGTGGAATGGGTTTTGTTAGACAAAGAAATGCTCATGGGCCAGTGCAGGGTCATAGAGGCAACTTCAAAAAGAGCCCTCTCTGTCCTCCTTATCAGCAGAGCAGAGCTTAGAAGCAAGAGGTGTGAATAGGGCAAGGAAGCGTGTAAGCCTCCAGGCTGTGCAGAGAGTAACGTGAACATACTCCTGACCCACACTGTCGGGAGGACGGCAGACACACGTTCCTGACATCTGGCCACTGCAGGTCAGGTGCTCCGTGGCCCAGCAGGACAGCCGTTGACCTTGGTGCCAGATATGGGACTTAGTCTGAGACCCTGGTGAATGACTTCACCTGCCAGGCCTCCATTTTCTCATCTGTCAAGTGGAGCTGAGGATATGTCCTTCTATGTCTCAGATCAAAGGACTTGCTGCACCTGTGGGTCTTTGTGGCCGAAACCGCTTTGCAAACGGGGGCATCCCTTATGATTGGGGTGGAGGTCTCAGGGAAGGTGCAGTGCTGGGAGCAGAAGGAATAATAGGCATTTTTCAAGCAGATGATAATGGGGATCTAGTCATCCACGTAATGGAAATTCTAACACGGTGGAAATCGAGAACAAATTGGCCAAGCTTTTCATTGACCTGGAAGAGGAAAATTGGAGAAGAATTTACAGGATTTTATTGCTTGTCTTTGCATTATTTCTTCGATGCACAATGCCATTTTTTTTTTTTTTGGCTTAGTATTTAGAAAAAGCAGCAGTCTTAGAAATCTTGAGTTGGGGAAAAGATTAGAGCAAGAAATAAGTCATTAGATGTGCTTTAATTATTTAAGGAAGAAAATAGTGCAGTGGTCACTTCTGGCTCCTGCTTTCTGAACTCAGCTAGGGCCCTAAGATCAGAGAGTAGCACTTGTCCTCTGCTTGTTCCCCTTATTAAGCTCGGCATGTGGCCCAATTAATTCAGCGATCCAGAAGGCCAGGGAGGCGGCGGTGGTGGCTCAGCGCTGGTGCCACGGGGAGCGGGCCCCGTCCGCTCCCGACTCCCTCCTGTCGCAGGCCTGGCTCGGGAGTTGCCTCCGCGGGAGGCTGTGGGGTCTGTACCTCGGCTGCTGCCGCCTCCCCTGTGAAGTACAGCATGCGAGCTGTTGATGCATCACACGGCCGACTTCATCCCCGAGGGTCAGAGGCGAGAGCGGAGCCGTTGCTGATGAGGCTAGAGGGTGGGAGGGTCCGTGGGTGCAGGGGAGCACGCAGTCTGTCTCTGAAGCCGCCCCTTGGGAGGAGGAGCCTGCATTGCGTCCTTTGAGCTGCAGGGTAGGGCCCCCGGGGTCTCCCTGCACAGGGGCTGCGTTGGCCAGGTAGCTGCTTCTGCACCCGCCGTGCACGAACGCACCTGTCCATCCCAGTGGAGGCTGGCTCGGCGTTCCGCTGCTTGTTCATTTACTGCTCAATGATTTTTCAAGGAGCACGGCTTGCCACTCGACAGGCTGTTTCAGAAGGATGGAGGGTGGTGGGCGAGGGCAGTCACGCTGGGTCCCTAAAGTGCCGGGAGGAAACGGGGTCCTCAGAGGGAGACCCTGGCACTGGGCTTCCGCAGGTCGCGGGCCCCGGTGACCAGTGGACGCTCCTCCCCCCAGATGGAGCGGCAGCGCCTCGCGCGGGAGAAGCAGATGCGGGAGGAGGCTGAACGCACACGGGACGAGCTGGAGAGGCGGCTGCTGCAGATGAAGGAAGAGGCAACGATGGCCAACGAAGCCCTGGTGACGTCCGCGGGGCTGGGTCCCGGGAGGCCTCTCGGACTCCCTCAGGCTCAGGGTTAGGCCCCAAAGACCATGGAGTAGCCACACTGGCTTTGAAGTTTCGACTTTTAAAAAAAAAAAAAAACATTGTCTTTCTTTCCACCTGTGTTTCCAGGAGCAGATTTATGCTGAGTTCAGCCTCCCAGGGCAGGCAAACTCCACTCACCGTGGGTCACCTTTCCCCGGGGGCGTCTCATCGGGCCATGTGGTCCCCTGGTGGGAGCCATCCTGTCCGCTGAGGGCTGGTTGGCCATGTCCCTGGCCTGTGCCCGCTGGAGTCCCCCATTTGTGACAATCAAATTCGTTTCCACACTGTGACTTGTCCCATGAAGGCACAGTCGCCCTGCTTTTGAACCACTTGTTTAAAGAAAGAGAAGGACAGAGTTAAGTTGGTTTTCTCCCTCATAAAATGTAGCCTCAGTTCAAATGGGCCCCCCCAGATGGACCCCCTGAAGGGCCTTCTCAGCAGTTGAAGGGTGTGGCTTGGGGACCGGCAGGGCCCCAGGGCATCCAAGACGCTGGTTCTTGCTGACCTGGGCATCTGAGGCCTGAGCAGGGCGGGAGAACAGGAATGGGACCCCGCATTCCCGCTGAACTGCGCTCCTCTCTGCAGATGCGGTCCGAGGAGACGGCCGACCTGTTGGCTGAAAAGGCCCAGATCACGGAGGAGGAGGCGAAGCTCCTGGCCCAGAAGGCGGCAGAGGCCGAGCAGGAGATGCAGCGCGTCAAGGCCACGGCCATCCGGACGGAGGAGGAGAAGCGCCTGATGGAGCAGAAGGTGCTAGAGGCCGAGGTGCTGGCGCTGAAGATGGCCGAGGAGTCGGAGAGGAGGTGAGCGGGTCCTCCCTGGTCGGCCAGAGGCCCCTTCCCGCACAGGCCAGAGGGGCTGGAGCCGGGCGGGCACAGCGATGCAGTTCTCTGGTTCCGTGGGCCGCAGTCCAGCCATGCCTTTGCGCTGAGCCCCTGTCCCTCGGATGGTTGTGTTTGCAGGAACACCACCGAGCTTGTCCACAGGCTGCTCTTAGCTGAGGAGACATGAGACTTTTCTTAAATTTACACAATACGCTTCTTTTCCCTTCTTTTGAGGGGCGCGTGGGAGACAGCAGTATCCACCATGCCCTACGTGGGGAGCAGGGCTGGGCAGGCCGCCCCGGCTCACGGCCAGGTCCAAGGATGGGACTGTGGCCTGTACTTTGCAAAGACGATGCGAGGCTCCAGGTTGTCCTTGTCCCGCAGCCGTCAGATGAACACTGGCTCATTCCTAGTCTGAACTTCCGGGGGGGTTCCGCTTTCGAGTACCCCCACCTCCCTCCTATGTCTTCTGTGGAGCCGACGGCCCCTCCTCTCCTTGCAGGGCCAAGGAGGCCGATCAGCTGAAGCAGGACCTGCAGGAGGCTCGCGAGGCAGAGCGAAGAGCCAAGCAGAGGCTGCTGGAAATCACCACCAAGCCCACGTACCCGGTGAGCCGGGGGCTGCCCGCCACCCCGCTTCTAGCCTCATAGGCTCCCTGCCCTCCCAGCCCTCAGGTTCCCTGGCGGTGCCCTCGGGGCAGCTGTTAGGCAAATGCACGGCAGAGCGAGCAGGGCAGAACATTCTAGGGCCTTGAAAGCGAGACGGGGTGTAGGGAGGCAACATGGTTTAAGCAGAGGAACAGAGCAGGAAGTACAAAAGTGTGGTCCGAAAGGGCAGTAGACAGTACCGTTTGCAGCCTTGTAGGGCAGGCGGTGGAAGAGTTCTGTTGAGTCCGTATTTCAGGTGACCCTCTGATTTGGGAGGAGAAAGTCGTCCAATCTCGTTGCCTCACCTCCATCTGCTTTAGGAGTGGGCGCGCTGGGCCCAGGGCCTCTGTGGCCTCTGGAGGGTCAGCAGGTGGCACAGCGGTGCCCTCCATTCTTGGGGAACCAACCCTCCTGATGATCAGGTTTCTCCTTCACAGCCCATGAACCCACTCCCACCACCGCTGCCCCCCGACATGGCAAGCTTCAACCTCATCGGCGACAGCCTGTCTTTTGACTTCAAGGACACCGACATGAAGCGCCTTTCCATGGAGATAGAGAAAGAGAAGTACGTAGTCCCTGGCCTCCCCGGGGCCCACGCGGGCAGCCTGTCCCTAACCCCGTGACGGCTTGCCCTGTCCTTGCCCACCGGACACTCGCAGCACTCTTGCCTGTCTCTCCTGACTGCTCCCACTTCTGTGGGCTTCCCTGGCGGCTCAGACGGTAAAGAATCCACCTGCAATGCAGGACACCTGGGTTCGGTCCCTGGGTCGGGAAGATCCCCTGGAGGAGGGCATGGCAACCCACTCCAGTATTCTTGCCTGGAGAATCCCACGGACAGAGGAGCCTGGTGGGCTACAGTCCATGGAGTCGCAAAGAGTCGGACACGACTAAGCGACTAACACTCTTCACAGTTGCCCACTGGAAGAGGAGCTTCCTGATTGGAAATGGAGGGCGATAGACCAGCTCTCAGACTTCCAGGATAAAAATGACACCTGATGGTTGACCCAGAGTTTACCGTGGCTTCAGAGCTCACCCACAGCCTAGGACTGGTTGTTGGGGGTCTCCAAGCCAGTCAGACCCTGTTCAAGAGGTGGTCGTGCTCTGGCCTGGTGGTGGAACATGTTTACTAGTTGTGTTCTCCGGTGACTGAGCTCAGCCCGCCCTGAGCTGGCCTCCTCGTTTCCTTCATGGTCGGGGGACGTGGCCCTGAGGTGGAAGGGAGCACCCCCCCCCCACAAAGGACATCTAACCGGGGTCCCCCGCTCTGAGCCACAGGTACATCAGCCAGCCGTGCCACCCCGGCCAAGGGACTGTCACGCCAGCCACCTGGCGTGGGGCGCCTGGTGACACGGTTCTTTAGCTTTCATTTCATTTCATCGCCACCAGCTGACTTCAGAGGCAGGCCTAGTGTTCCCGTTATCAACAGGAGCCCAAACTTAGAGCGCCTAGGAACTCACCCAGCACCGCACTGTGGATGAGGGAGAGACAGGGGTTCAGCCCCTCACCCACCTGACTCTGTAGGGCAAGCGCCTTCACCATGCTCGGTGTCCTCAGGGCAGCCCCCGGCCGGGCAGGTGTCCTGACGACAGAGAGCCCCAGCGTCTCTGACTGGTGCCCACGGCGTGAGTTCCCTTCCCCCTTCCCTGCATGCTAGGCATGTTCAGCATTACCTGGTAGTGATCGGGGTGAGCTGCGTCCTGTCCGTTCCCTGCTCTTTTACAGTTTATGTTTCCTTCCTCAGTCCCCATGAGCATCTGGGCAGAGTCCCTAACCAGCCATGGAATCCCTGCAGAATGTCCCCTTGGGTCTGGGAGGACCTGGTCTGCTTGGCCGTGCCCAGGCGGTCAGGCACCCTGAGAGTGGCTTCCCTCACAGATACAGCGTGTCTGCCTGCAGATGGTGGCGGGCGTCTTTCTCTTCCCGGTGTTGGCTGCGTGAGCGTCTGTCATCATTAAGAGATGATGTCCCAGAGCAAGTAGGGATGAGGGCCACAGCCTGTCGGAGAGGTCCACCAGAATGGAGTCCCTTCTCCAAGAAAGGTGTGACTTCCCTGGTGGCTAGACAGTAAAGTGTCTGCCTGCAATGCAGGAGACCCAGATCCAATCCCTGGGTCTGGAATGTCACCTGGAGAAGAAAAAGGCAACCCACTCCAGTATTCTTGCCTGGAAAATCCCATGGACAGAGGAGCCTGGTAGGTTACAGTCCATGGGGTCACAAAGAGTCAGACGTGACTGTGCAACTTTTGTTTTGAGACGAGGACATTGTTCTGGGTTCTGGGAGGCTAGCTTCTCGTGTTGATTCTTGGACAGAACTTAAAAACTCTCCGTTAGCCGCGACTACCGGTAGGACAGCTTACTGAGGCTCTCCTCCGCTCCCTTGTGCTTAATCCTGACCTGGGCTCTGTGATTGTCATCCCTACTTCACGGAGGAAACGGATGCGGAGCAGTTAAGGGACCGGCCCAAGTCCCCCCGGCCCGTGAGCAGCCGAACAGAGACCTGAACCCCCCAGCTCAGGCTCCGGGTCCCCGGGCCGAGCCGCTCGTGGGTCTGCGGCCTCTGGCACGGGGGTCTCGCCCTTTGCCAGCCCCGTGACACGCTGTCCTCTCGCCGGCAGAGTGGAGTACATGGAGAAGAGCAAGCACCTGCAGGAGCAGCTCAACGAGCTCAAGACCGAGATTGAGGCCCTGAGACTCAAGGAGCGGGAGACGGCCCTGGACGTGCTGCACAACGAGGACGCCGACCGGGGCGGCGGCGGCAGCAAACAGAACACCATCAAAAAGGTACCGGGCCTGTCCTGCCGCTCGGGCGGCCGCTCGCCGAGCGCGGGCTCGGCATGTGGCTCCCTCGGCAGCCGAGTCGTCACGCTGGTGTCGTGTTTTTTTTAACGTGTACTTAGTTGAGGGAATATTTTTTTGACTCACGCCGGGAAGGGAAGTTAATCTGCCGATGACTGTGAACCCATCGGCTTGATGGAAGGGGGAGCTTGTGTTAAGAGCTCTGATGAAATGAATCATGGTTACCGGACGGGTTTTGATCCATCATTTAGCAGTAAAGCAATTCTGTCTTTCAAGCTGAGGGGAGATCTGCCCAGGGAGCTGCCTTACTTAATGAGAAAGCAAAATGAAAGGGAGGCTGTCGAGACTGGCCTCTCCCTCTCAGCTTTTTGCGTGTCTAAGCGGCATAGGACTATAAAATTCCATTCTTGATTCAAAACCAAATTCTGAATGTTAAGCTTTCGTCCAGACTTGAAAGAAAATGTCTGGAACAACCTTAATGTTTTAAAAGATGAGACTTCCCATTTATGTGGCTAACAAGTTTCATGTCTTTTTCTCCATGGATGTTTTGAGCTTTCAGCCTTTGGGAGGAAGTTAAGTCCTATACTGTCAGCCCAAGAATATACTTGTCTTCCGTTGGGCAGAGCAGAAAGGTCCTCTAGTGCCAGGTGATGTCAGCTCCTGACACTTTCCCTAGAACCAGGAACACCTGTCTCACGGGGCGGGTCAGTACAAGTTTCTGCAGTGAGCTTAGATGGTGATAGATGTGTTTAATTTTGTACCCTTTACCCGAGTCTTTAAAATTAGTCTCCCAGTTGGAGGGCTGTTTTCAGTGCTTAAGTATCTGAAAACCCTAAGAGATGTGTCTACCTGCCATCACTGAGGGGACAGTCGGGAGTCCTGAATCCTCCCTCCTGACTCCAGTTACCATTGGCTCCGAGTAGAGAATTCCTTTTAATAGCGTGACCTGGAAGACTAGACCTCTCCACCCATGTTCCTCTTTCCCCCAGCTTCTGTAACGTAACGGGTTTCCCTCCTGGACCTACGTCTGAAACGCTGAGCAGAAAGAGGAGCTAGAGCGAGGCCTCAGCCTGTGGGCAGAGAGGAGGAAGGACCAGCTGGCCAGGGAGCCAGTGGGGCCTCCAAGAAGCTGCCTTGGACCCCTCTGCACTCTATTCTCTCCCCCCCCGCCCCAGGCACAGGCTGTATATAGCTGCCCCATAGCCCCCGGGGTGCTGAAAGCTGTAGAGATCCCCGTTTCCAAGCCGTAAAGAACAAACAGGTGAAGTCACCAGTCACAGTTTCAGGCCCGGTCTGAAAGCATTTTGCGAATGGCAAGATGACGTGTGACATTGTTGATATCACAGGGTATGTTTTCTGTTTTTCTTCATTTTTATCTTGCTGGTTTAGCCTCAAGCCCAAGGCAGAAGACCTATCTGCATTTGAGCCCTCACAGTAGGTTATGCCCAGGTACTCTGTATGTGGTGATGGGACCGCCCTCTGTGGTACTAACCCCTGCATGAGCTTGCCTGTCTGTGTCCCCGGGGCCGCGCCCAGCCCTCCTGGGGGGGCAGGCGGCACCTGGGGCCTGGCCGCAGCATGCTTGAGTCTGAGAGCAGGCGTCCCCCCTGTGGGGCCAGGCCGACCTCCAGGGCCCCGGGGGCCGCCTCGCTCAGAAGAGCATGTCCCGGGGCTGTCGGACCAGCCGTCCGTCCTTCCTTCACGTGTGTTGTTGGGCTGGGGAAGGCCATGGCTTCTTGTCCGGTCAGGTGTGTCTCCAGTCCTCCGTCTTGGTGGCGTCCCCCTCCGATAAATAACCCTAGCATGGGAAAGGGGTCTGTTTGGGTGTCTTTTTAACTCGAGATCATGACCTTTCATGTGGTGACAGCCTCTGAAGACCCGTCCACAGTCACACCTGGCAGCTTCTGGCCATGGGACTGGGGTTGGGTGGGGAGAGCCGCCCCTCCCAACCCCCACCTTCTGTCCACATCTGTTGTTTTCAAGTAAAGCAAACCGCTCGCACAGGGGTCTGAGCTGTGGTCAGGCTCAGCGGACCATCTGTCCACCAGCGAGCCCGCTGATGGCCGCCTCTGCGGGAACTCCCTTCGGGACAGTGCAGTCCTGGCTGATGGGCGGTCAGCGCTCGCCAAGTGAATTAATTGAATGATTGCTGCTTTCCTTCTGCGACAGTTCATTATTCTCCCCACGGGCCTAGGCAGTGGAGATAATTTATTACATACAATAATAAAATAACATTCTCCCCCTGCTCCTCATGCGAACCCTGGCAGCACCCACGCCAGTGAGCCCACCGACACCCGCCGGTCACATGTGGACGTATTCTTTGGTGTCCTCACCATGGTTTCTGCTCCCAGAATAAAACAAGCCCATTGGAAGCTTTGTATCAAAAAGTGCGATCTGGCACAGGATGGATCCTATTTGTGGTTGCCATCCAAGCGAGAGAGGTTAGCTATTAAAGTCCCAGATGGATCTCATTATAAGATGGATTCGATCTGTCAGTGGTTCCAGGAACCCCTGGCGTGAACCACAATTTGTGTGTGACACTTTTATTTAGCGGGCTCCTGTTTTCTCGAGCTTTCATGCCACATGCTGGCATTGAACACCCCGTCACCAAGCGGTGCATGCTCTGTGCCGGGCAGGAGTGAGAACCCTGAGATGGGTGGGCCAGGTGGCACATCACCCAGGGTGGACCCACTCTAGCTTCCTGGGCTCCGTGGCGAGCACAGGGGTACACAGAAAGCCCATTTTTTGTTTCCGTCTGTGCTGTCAGATTCTGTCTGTGACCGTACTCTTCTACCTTGGGATGACTTCATCTCTCTTCTTTCTGTAATGATTCAGAACGTTTCAGTTCTTCAGGGGCCCGGTTCTGACCGTCAGTCCTCACTGAGCTGTGATTACAGATAAATGAGGTTTGATTTGTACTGCAAACGGGTACTGCTCCTAGGACATGCACGGACGCCGCCTTTTTTTTTTTTTAATGTCTTGATGTGAACTTGTTTTCAAAGTAGGCTGGCTGCAAGCTCCAGTTAACCCAGAATTCAGATTAATTGAGGGTTAATAAAATGGAGTTGGCTCTCAACACAGCTGGACTTGATTTCAGCATCACAGATCAAGCAGTGGTAGCTTTTGCTACGTATGAAGTTGGAGGGGAGGCACATTCTGGATCTTGGTGGTTCCAGCAGCCAAGTAACCAAGCCTGCCAGCCAGCCACTTGCTATGCCAGGGTGGCTCTGGCCTTGTGCCTGGGCTGAGGTGCCTGGGCCAGAGAGAGCCGAGATGACGAGAAAGACCACCGCAGGCTCTGAGATGTGGGCACCCAGACTGTCAAGGGCACGGCTCCATCTAGAAAGTCCAGGGTGAGAAATGCAGATCGGTGGTGAACCGAAGAGTTTCCATTGTCCTCAGGCTCGTCATTAATCTTGCTTCAAACCAGCCTGCGTTGATTTTGTTTCATTTTTTGTGTCTTCTGATCACGGATTCCTTCTAGGAACGACTGGTTCCCCTCCCTCTGGCCATCCGGGTGTATTCCTCCCCCTTTGCTCTCTGGCCTCCCCTCGAGGCCTGTGTCTGACCCGCCTCAGCAGGACCCTCCGGGGCTGGTGACACTTAAGCTAAATCCCAAGGGTTTACCCGGAGCAGGGGTTACCATGCTCCTGTGGCAGTGCCGAGAGGCAGTGCAGCCTGCCTCATGGAGCCAGCTGCTCTGCCACTTCCTTCCTCTATAATTCTTACCTTCTGCTAAGGGTCAGTGTCCTCACCTATAAAAGGAGATTAAAACAGTTCACGCCCCTCAGGATTCTTATGAGGATTCAGTGAGTTCCCTCTGGGCTTCCCAACTGGTGAAGCGGTAAAGAATCCACCTGCTGACGCAGGAGACGCACACACACAGGAGACACATGTTCGACCCCTGAGTTGGGAAGATCCCCTGGAGAAGGAAATGGCAACCCACTCCAGTATTCTTGCCTGGGAGAGCCCATGGACAGAGGAGCCTGGCAGGCTACAGTCCACGGGGTCGCAAAGAGTCAGGCACGACTGAGCACAGCACAGCAAGGAGTTCCGTTTAAAAACTCAGCGAGGGGTTGAACTTATGTAAAGAAACAAACCTGCTTGGGAGTCTGGCCTGGGAGGCGCCACACTTGCGTGCACAGCTCGAAACATGCGTATCCAGTGGTGTTTTAGTTTCCATGTGTTTGGAGGTAAAAGCTTTTAAAAAGGCAGAATGAACCACACCGATGGTGCTGTGTGATCTGGATTCGCAAGGGTGTATTTTTCTGCTCCCACTGATCTTCGCTGCACATTTCCATCTTCTCCCGATCGATAAGCAGCACAGCTGGTTTGACATTTGCATCCGAGTCTGAGCGGCACTAGAGACCAAAGGCTGCCCTTGGGAGCATAGACCCAAGGCATTCTCGGGGTGGCGGGGGGTGGAGGTGGGGGAGAGGCAGCGGCATGCGCTCCTGGCCTCTGAGTCTTCTGAGCAAGGGCGTGGGGTCTGGCAGTGAGGCTGGGGGAGGGGGAAATGGTGTCTGGGACTTGAGCCTCTTGCCTTCAGAGCCACCATGCCGATATGGTGCGCGGTGGCCGGGTGCGATTTTGCTGCACAGCGCACTGTGGGGCTGACAGCGCGGTCGCAGCCTTCACCCCCACCCCTTCTCAAGGGATGCTGTCGTTCTGGGCTGGTCTGAGTGCCGGCAAGCTTGTCCTCGTGTTCCGTGCCCATGCTCTCTGAAGAAGCACAGGATCTCAGAGGCAATCGACAGAGGAGAAATCCTGGAGGTCGGGGAGCTTAGAAAGCTTATTTCCTTTGTAAACGGTGCGAACCACCGAAGCCCTGCTCTGGTTTCTGCTGGTGGGGGCGGTGGCAGTGAGGGACCTCGACGCGTCTCTGAAGCCCCGCCGCCGCTCTCGGATCAGGAAGACACAAAAGACCAGTGACATCTTCAATTTGCGGGGACTCCGTCTGGAGCTGCAGGGCTCGGAGTCAAGTA